GATTGAAGATCCCAAAACCAAGAGTTTGGTGAAGCATAGACAGTTGTGTAGAAATATGACTGGATGAAAAGGGTATGATCTAATCATAATGGGTTAGGGGGTGGGGGAGTGGCAGAAAGGATGGTCTGTTCAGGTTTTTCCTGGCCTCTATGCAGTATTACTTCCCTCCAAGTAGGAGCAACACGCTTTCCAGAATGGGGATCTTGTGACCTATATTCAAACATGGTTGGTCAGAGAATTTCTTTATGGCTAGTTCTTACTCAGAAAGGTGAAGGGAAATTTGGATAATATTTTTAGGTTTTATGAATGGCTTTGGATAAAAAGGAGTTCTGATTTCCATAGCTTACCTTGTGAGGGGAATGAGGAATGAGAGACAGGAGGGCAGGAAGAGGTAAGAGATTGCTTCCGAGGCTTCACTTTGGGGCATTGTTTTCCTAAGCCTCAAAAACATTTTATTTTATTTTATTGAGAGGTTTTTGCCTTAGGGTACGTGCATTCACAGGTGATGGGGGTGGGTAGGGGGAGTAGAAGACAGAGACAAGGAGAAGGAAAGTGAGAAATCACTTCTGGGGGCATGGCCATACCTGAATCCCTTCCCCTCCATTCCCCTCCCCAGATCTTAGGCATGTACACACACACTTGCCCAGTGTGAGTTTCAAGCTACAGGGTCCAGAACTTGAACCACGGTTGGCCACGTGGTGTCAGGGTAGCTGCTACACCATCTGTGGCCCCCCTCAAAGATACTTCAGCAACAGAATTTGGTAGAGCTTCACTCTGGTGTTTATGTATGTATGTATGTATGTATGTACATACGTATGTATGTATGTGAGAGGTTTTTGCTATAGGACATGTGCACTCACTAGAAAGACAGACAGAGACAGAAAGACAGAACGCAAGAAATTACTCCCCAGGAAGGATGGCCACGCCACCACAATCCCTTCTCCTCCATTCTCCTCTCGAGATCTTGGGCATGCACATGCCCAGTATATGTTTAAGTCACCAGGTACGGGACTCGAACCACAATTGACTACATGGCAGTCCAGCAACATAACCATTACGCCATCTGCTGGTCCCTGTGCTGTGTGTTTAGTGAACACAGATACAGCTCCACTCTGTGTATCTGCTTCTTTTCTGTATGCTACCAGCTCATAATTTCTTTCTTTTCCCTGTTATTTACATATTTCACATTCCACAGAAGAATTCAGTTAATACCATCCCCACTTCCTCCATTCCTCCCATATAGGTCATGGTTGCAGGGTGAGGAGTCCAATCCTAGTCCAATAATCTAAACAGCTTTACCAAGATAAGGACTGAACTAGGTTAGAGTAATGTGAAGCAAGTGGTAAGGGGCAGCTGCATGCAAGGAAGTTTTCCTCAGAATAGGGTATAGGTGAAGCACCCCCCTCCAACACACCAGCATTGTGATCAGCAATTTCAAACACACCGAGGAAGCAGAACAAATAGAAAGTACTAATGGAGTTCAGAGAAAACAGAGATCACCAAGGGCCAGGGTGTGCTAATTATATGTTATAAGAGCCTGCAATTATAAACCCATAGATATGCAAATAAATGCTGATGGCGCAGCAGATGAGATTACAAAGCCAGTTATCTATGGCCTCTGATAAGTGGACTGGCAAGATAAATGATTTGTTTATAAATTCACTTAGAGATTGCACTACCATCTCTAACTACTTTCCCCCTTCTGGGGACATCCACAGAATGAAGAAAGCCAGTAGGCACCTCAGATTAGATTTCCATATTCATTACCTTCTGACCTAGGCAACCCTGCCTTCTTATAATGGGATAAACAGGCCCTTAGATTGTGGCTGGCTGATTCACACTGCCAAATGTCATTTGCCCACAGCATTTCTTTACTGACTAAATGAGAACTGATGGTGGCATCTGTTTCTGCCACCCAGATCCCAGTGACAGCTCATAAATTGGCATTTCTTGTCTGTGTGGAGGGGAGCTCACCGAAAATGTAACTTCAGGGGAAGACTACAAATGCTGACTACGTATTAGGCTTTCTAGAACCTGGGGCCAAGAAGTCTTTGAGGAGCACTATGCCCATGGCGTGACTGTCACAGGAACTGTGGGTTGGCATTGCAGGCATTGCACATGAAGCCCATCCCTCTGAGAGCAGATGAACCATGCACAGCAAGTCCCTAAAGCCTGACAGTTCCTAACTGACAACATCAGGATCTCTGTCCTGCTGTATACCCTGTGAGAATGAACGATGGCTTAAAACATTTAAACCTAATTAGAGCATTCCAAATAACATATGCCTTTCTGAAAGAGTCAAAAAACTTTTCTTCATTTCTTTCAATGGAGAAGGGTAAAAAAAAAAAAAAATCAATTCAAAGAAACATTTATCAGGTACCTGCTACGTGCCATTCCTGTGTTCAGACTGTAACTTGTGTAGTACTTCTGAATATTGCACTGTGTCCTGAATATCTCACAATATCTGACAGAATCCTAAGTCTGTCATGAAGCTATCAGGTAGAAATCTTCAATTGTGACCCCCATTTTAATGCTGCTTGAAAGGAGATTTTCGCCAATATTTCTAAGTTTGTTGTTTGGTTGAAAGAGAACTTGGCCAGTATCATAAGCTTATCAAGTGTTTCATTATGTTTTGGTATTTTTGTTCATCTCCCCATCATCTGAGGTATCAGATGTTCTCATAATAAAAAAAAAAAGAAACTGGATTTAATTGTGTCTACTTTCTAGCCAGTAGCTGTACAAAATGGCAAGTAAATAAATTGGGAAACATAGAAAAACTAAATGACAAGTAAAAATGAACCTGCAATATTAGTAACTATATCTCTGTATTAACAAGATATTACTTGTTATTACATTTTGTTATATTACATTTTCAATGATGAGTAATTGAGCTCAGCAAGTAATCCACTATGAAACAATTCTGGAAGTCACTATCAGCAGAGAAATAAGGGTCGCTTTCTAAAATCAAAAGTATTGAAGCCTTCCCCAAACATCACATCTATTAAATATGAGTCACATAGAAATATCACATCTATAAAATGGGTTCAAAAAGATACAGTTAAAAGTTTCAAAAGATCAACATTTTATAAAATAGAGAGCCTCATTTTCATTGTCTTGAATTCATTACAGTGTTCAGAGTAAAACATTTTCCTTTAATTCAGGCAAATGCAAGTATATAATTAAGAACCTTTTTAAAAAGATGTATATTAGCCACATTTGATTCTGAAACTTTTCCTAAAAATATGGTGCTACTGAGATGAAAGAACTAGGAGAAAATTGGTAACATCAGTCACTTGGTCTGTAGAAGCAACATCAAACTGAGAACCATAAGCTTATCAAGTGTTTCATTATGTTTTGGTATTTTTGTTCATCTCCCCATCATCTGAGGTATCAGATGTTCTCATAATAAAAAAAAAAAAGAAACTGGATTTAATTGTATCTACTTTCTAGCCAGTAGCTGTACAAAATGGCAACTAAATAAATTGGGAAACATAGAAAAACTAAATGACAAGTAAAAATGAACCTGCAATATTAGTAACTATATCTCTGTATTAACAAGATATTACTTGTTATTACATTTTGTTATATTACATTTTCAATGATGAGTAATTGAGCTCAGCAAGTAATCCACTATGAAACAATTCTGGAAGTCACTATCAGCAGAGAAATAAGGGTCGCTTTCTAAAATCAAAAGTATTGAAGCCTTCCCCAAACATCACATCTATTAAATATGAGTCACATAGAAATATCACATCTATAAAATGGGTTCAAAAAGATACAGTTAAAAGTTTCAAAAGATCAACATTTTATAAAATAGAGAGCCTCATTTTCATTGTCTTGAATTCATTACAGTGTTCAGAGTAAAACATTTTCCTTTAATTCAGGCAAATGCAAGTATATAATTAAGAACCTTTTTAAAAAGATGTATATTAGCCACATTTGATTCTGAAACTTTTCCTAAAAATATGGTGCTACTGAGATGAAAGAACTAGGAGAAAATTGGTAACATCAGTCACTTGGTCTGTAGAAGCAACATCAAACTGAGAACATTGAATCAGGCTTTCTCAGCAGAAAGTACAATGTTACTGAAATGACGTTGTCATGAAAATATTTTATGACCTAAAAAAGTCATCAATTCCTTTCCTTCTAAGCTCCTTTGCTGACTATTTAGACTCGCTACCGTTTTACGTATAATATTTTAAATAAAGATGCAGTGAGTTCTCTAAACAGTCATAGGCTCTAAGTTATATAGTAAGAAAATATTGTTCCTTATATTTTCCTGTGTATACAGAGGGTATAAGATTGCAAATATAATTAAATGTATTAGCACTTATTGTAAGCCCTATAGGTTTTTATTTTTTAGTATTAGATTTATAATCTTAAATTTTGTAGGAATATAGCTGTTATAGTATATAGATCCTGTTTATATTATGAAAAATGGCACTAACTTAAAAAGATAGTTTATTTTTTATCCCACATGAAAGAAACCCAGTGGTAGGTCATCCAGAGGTGGCGTAATGTCATTCCTTATCAGCAGTGACACAGCCTCTGCCTTTACATTCCACATTCTGTATCTGTATTGCCTTCATCCTCAAAGTTGCTTCATGGTCCACAATGATCAATGAAGCTCCAGCCACCATGCCTGAGTTCCAGGTCAGCAGAAGGAGGAAGTAAGAGAAAGTAAAATTGCAGAGGTCCCAGCTAACTCAGCATCCATCTAAGTAGTCACCTCAGTAGTCCCACAGAATCCTTCTGCTCAAAGCACATTGGACTAAATATTTTCATAGTGTCATATCCACCCACAAGAGAGACTAAGGAATAGAGTCATTGTTTTCAGAAAAGTGACTAGTAGAACTTGCGGTTTCCATGGATAAGAAATAAGAAATAAATGACATTGTTTTGGAGTTTTACCTTCACATATGGTGAAATGCTACTCGTTACCCAGTTGTTCCTTGTGTATGTTAACTATGCATATCTCTCTCTTCCTCTTGTATTACCAGGCCTCCGGAACCTGTTTACAGCACTGTGAACAAACTGTGTGATAAGCCTGCTTCTCCCAGGCACTATTCCCCTGTTGAGTGTGACAAAAGCTTCCTTCTCTCAGCTCCCTACCCCCACTACCACCTAGGCCTGCTCCCTGACTCTGAGATGACCAGGTACTGCATGCGCTTCCTCACTTCATCTTCTCGAATTGCATGTGCTTTCCCAAGAATGAATGGGGAGAATCACCTCTGCTCACTTCCCCGTACTCAACATCCTCCTCCCAGTGGAGAGATGTTGTGTTCCCATGGTGCAGTGGGAGAAATTGAAAACCTTGTTCTTCTTCTCTCCCTGTTGTGATCACCCAGCACTCAGACGTGATCACAGGATGCTCCACAAGTTCTTGGTTCCCATACATTTTAACAAGACATTAATTGTATTTCTCCTGAAGAATTAATTTTGGAATTTAATTGCCATCATTTCTCTCATACAGTAGGATGAAAGAGAACATTTATTGATCATTTTAAATAACATTTAGTGAGTTCTTACTAAATGTGCCCCAGGCAAAACATAGCCTAAGAAATAGGTACTATTATTGCCATTAAATCTTTTAGTTAAAATATTAATTTTATATCATTGAATTGACTTTGAGGTATTAAGCCACTTGTCCAAAAGTTAATTCTGTCTAACCACAAAGAACATAAACTTAATATTTATACTATGTTATTATGCTAGATGTTTACCTATATTCTCTTGTTAAGTTATTCCCATCTTATATGAAGAAATGGAGGTTCAGAGAAGTTAAGGCATGTCCTTTCATGTGATCTTGCCATTATGATCTTCTAAAGCATATGTTTATTAATAAAATCCCTGTCTTTCTGTAATAGCCAGATAGAAAAGGGAGAATCAGAAAAAGAGAACCCAGTGTTTCATCAGGCATTCCAATTCAGGCTAACCTGAGACTTCAATTATAATGCTTACACATATTGGGGTGCTTACATAGTTACCTTTTCAAACAGAATCTTCTTAATATTGTTAGGCCTGATATATCGAGGTGGTCTCATTAGGACATCATCTTTCTTTTTTCCTTTATGATGTTTTAAAGAATCTGTTTACAAGTCACTTACTGGTCTCTGTAGGGGAGTTAAGTAGCAAGTTTTAAATTATATTGTAATATTTTTAGAAAAGAGTGAAAAAAAAATTGGCCATGTCATCAGCTAAGGCATTTTTGCTCATTTGCAATGATTAAAGCCTAAAAAACATCTCAGAGCATTTTATAAATATTAACTAAATTCTCCTATATTTGTAACAAATCACAAAAGCTACTTCTTGACACAGTGAACTATACAATGTGGAAGCTCAGAGGGCAGAGTCACCACAGCCACAGGGAGATGAGAAGGTGCCAGGCCTACAAAAACCGCTCTGTAGTGGCTATGCACCTATAATCAGCTGCAGAAGGGCAGCTAGCATTTGTTGAGCTCTTCTTCAGTGCCAGGCATTTGGCTAAGCACATCTTATGAGTTATGTTTTTTAATTCTCATTATCACCTTATAAAGTAGGTACTATTATTATCTTCATTTTACGAATGAGAAAATTGAGACTTAAGAAGTTGCCTGAATTGCCCAAGATCATCTATTAACAAGTAGCAGAGCTGGGATTCAAACCCAGGTGATGACTGACCTCCAGGCCATTAGCTCTTCCTAGTCATGACAGAGATATTTTTGCTCACTGGAAGAAGTCCTTGCCTATTTCTCTTTACCTGTCCTTTCACTATCGTTATCTGGACTCATCATCTCCCTTCCTCTAGCTCAGTGTCAGTGATTCAAAAAAAAAAAAAACAAAAAAAAAAAAAACAAAAAAAAAAAAAACAAAAAAAAAAAAAACAAAAAAAAAAAAAACAAAAAAAAAAAAAACAAAAAAAAAAAAAACAAAAAAAAAAAAAACAAAAAAAAAAAAAACAAAAAAAAAAAAAACAAAAAAAAAAAAAACAAAAAAAAAAAAAACAAAAAAAAAAAAAACAAAAAAAAAAAAAACAAAAAAAAAAAAAACAAAAAAAAAAAAAACAAAAAAAAAAAAAACAAAAAAAAAAAAAACAAAAAAAAAAAAAACAAAAAAAAAAAAAACAAAAAAAAAAAAAACAAAAAAAAAAAAAACAAAAAAAAAAAAAACAAAAAAAAAAAAAACAAAAAAAAAAAAAACAAAAAAAAAAAAAACAAAAAAAAAAAAAACAAAAAAAAAAAAAACAAAAAAAAAAAAAACAAAAAAAAAAAAAACAAAAAAAAAAAAAACAAAAAAAAAAAAAACAAAAAAAAAAAAAAAAAAAAAAAACTATACTCTTTTTTGATAAACATAAAAGTTATGTTTGTTTCCTTCCATTCCTCTGGGATTTTGGAGAGTCCCTATTAAAAACTCACCAGTAAGTAGCTGGTAGAGTATGTCTATTATGTGGACCCTCCATCAGATAGGATTTTTTTTTTTTTCAGATTACTTTCTGTTATCTGTATTGCATTCATGGTTTTTGAGGGGTTTTTGCAGGGGGTTGTTTGTTTGTTTTGCTTTTCACTTTTCAAATTTTAAAAAAAATCACAGTATAATATTGAACATGTCTTTTCAAAATATACACCTGATATGCACTAGTCCCCAGTCCCTACTCACCATCTACCCCTTTGGAAATTCTAGTTAGTATTCTAATTCTGTCTCCTTCTTTTTCTCCCCTCATTTTCTCCTCTTCCATTATCTTACCCATTTCTTTGACCTTCTAGAAAAAAGGTGTCCACACACATATTTTAGTGACCTTGTCACCTGGGCACTGATACCAAAACTCTTGATTTCCCTTCATTTTGGGTCTTCTTCATACTTACCCAACTCGGTAAAGAGCACATACATCTTACCCCATCGCTCAAGACCAGAACTTGAGAGTCATTCTTGCTTTGTTTTCCGTCACATTCACCATTCAGTTCATCTTGAAGTTCTGTTGATTCTACCACCAAAATACATTTTTTATCTCTTCACTCTGCTCTGCTTCTGTTTACACCACTTTAATGCCCCATCATCTCTCACCTATAATTGCCTCCTAGTGAGTCTGGCCATTTCCACTATCGTCCCCTGGACTTACTCTCAATGCAGCCAGAGTGATCTGTTAAAAATACAGATCAAATTGTATCTCGCTCCTTTTGCATTAGCACAAAATGCAAAGTCATTATCACAGCATCCAGGCTCTGCATGATCTAGCCCCTGCCTGCCTCTTAAACATCTCATTTCACTCTTCCCTATGCTGACCACACTATTCACATCAGCTTTCGTCTTATTCATGAAATGCACTAAATCTCTTCCTGTCTCAAGAACTTGAGACATGCTTTTTCCTCGAACTGAACAGCTTCTTCTCCACTTTGCCTGATTAGCTGCTGGTCATCTTAGATCCAAGTTTAAGTTGTACTTTTTCATAGAGGTTCTCTGAAAGAAAATTAGGTTTCCTATTCTGCATTCTTTCTTTTTTCCCCCCATAAGACTTAAGCAATTTGTAATTGCACATCTATTTATGAAATTTTCAAACTAAATGGCAGTCTCACACTCTACACTGTGAGCACAAATGGAATTGTGTCTATGTGCACTACTGGATCCCTAACACTTAACACAGGACCTGGCTCAGCAGAGGCTCAGAATTATTAAGTTAAATAAATATGGAAATGATATCAGCAGATGAGCAAACTGATACCTGAGTCAGTAGCAAGTCATAACTCAAGCTACAGGCTTTACCCAGTTCTCAGGAGGTACACAAAACTACTCCACAAACAAGTGGATCTATGCATGGAAATAATAGTAACCAGACCTCACACTGCATTGTACACTCAACTTAAATATGGTCATTGTCCACATTAATTAAGTAGCTGTCAATTGTTCATGAAGACTAAGAATTCATTCCAGACATTATTTATTTCCTCTCTGGTAGGAAATAGCTCTCCAAGTAGATGTTTCTTTGAAATGCAGTCAATAACTCAGGAGAAAAGTTCAAGAGTTCTAGTTCCATTTATGATACCATGACTTGCATTTTTCACTATTCCCATAAATATTGCATAACATTTAGAGGTAAATAAAAAACTTTGGTAGACAAGCCCTTATCCAATTCTAGCAATGATGAGGAACTTAATGTACTATATTCATGGATCTATGACTTATTTCCATTCATGGCCAAATAGAAATATTTTAGAGCCCAACTGTGGTCCTGCACAGCTAGCCACCACCAGTTGGGAGGCTGGAAGCCACTTGGGAGGCTGGGGTTAGGTTCCAGGACAACCTCAACATGTGGGTTTGGTGGCATAAGCCTATAATCCTAGCTAATTGGGAAGTTGAGGCAGGAGGATTACAAAACGGTAAGACCCTGTCAAAAATACCTATTTCTGTCTCTTCCTCTCTCTCTGCCTCTAAGGGGAAAACACAATTTTGTAACTTCTATTTTTAAAAAGGATATTATAAGAATGTTTCTATAAATTGATTCAACTGGGATTTATCAAGCACCAACAAAAGCACAAGATAGTATACTAAGACAACTTTTTACAAATGTGTAGGCTAAAATGCCAACCAAAACTATTGAAGAAATGCCTGGTCTTGAGACAAGGTTCCACATGGCTACAGTGAACTAGATTTTTAAGGGAATGAAGATTTTCTACTAATAATTCAGCCTCCAACAAACGAGCTAGCGGTAGGGAGCCCCCCTCTGCACCCCCAGCCTTCTCTCTCTGTCTCTCAGTTCCTATCTCTCTCTGCTCTGTCTTCCCTTTTTTTTATTTTTTTGGTAATATTTCCTTTTTACCCTTTTTTTTCTTTAAAAAAAAAACAAGGCCCAGTTTTTCTCTGGCTCTTAGCTCCGCCTTCTTTCTTGTTAATTTTCGCTCTGCTCCTCCCATCCAGGCAGAAGACAAGGTTCCACATGGCTACAGTGAACTAGATTTTTTGCGCGGCGCGCACGGTTTTCTATTTTGTGATTTTTTTTTTTAAAAAGAACTGTAATTACAAATTTTTAATTTTTTTAATTTTTTTGTCTTTTTTTCTCTTTTTCTTGTTTTTCTCTGTCTCGTTTTCCTTTCTCTTGTCTCTTCACCCTCCAGTATCCTTTCAGTGTGTTTTTAGACAGATCTAAGAGCACTGTAGCTAAACATCCAAATACTAATAGGGTTAA